CCCAGGGCGGCGGGCCGCGCCCCCCGGCCCCCCAAGCCTGGTTACCGATCTCCACGAAGCGCTCCACCCGGCACGTCATGGTGAACTCCTTGCGGTGGGCTGGCCCCGACTCCTGGGTCACCGTGTACTCCGGCAGCCGCCAGCCTTTCTGCACCACCAGCTCCTGGAGGGGGAACAAGGGCGGCCAGGTGAGAGGCGGCTGTGGGGAGTCGGGGGGGCCACCCCCGGGCACCTCCCGGGCCTGGGTGGAGGGAGACGGCAGGCGCAGGAAAGGTGGCCGCACCTGCAGAGCGCCGACAGGGTTGCACTCAGACTGCTGAGGGGACACGGGGGGCTGCACCTCCATGGGGGGACTCCTGAAGGGAAAGAGCCGAGCCCAAGCTGAGGCGGGGACCCTTGCGAAGCTGCCCCATGAGCCCTCGGTTCTGCTGTGGCCCCAACTACCATCTCCGTGGTCCCTGCTGTCTTCCACACGTCCAGCCCGACTCCTCCCAGCCCCACCCAAGCGAGGTCTCCAGATGCCAGGCCCTTTTCATGTCCTGGGGTACTTGACCATCACCCTGCCAGGCCCCGGAGGCACCAGATGGGACGCAGACCCAGGACCACCCGAGGCCTGTGAACTCCACGCAGGTACCCGAGACTGCCGCCCACCCCAAGGACCTATCCCAAGCTCACCAGCTGGCGCCATTCTTCAGACTGGTCCTCTGTTTACTCTGACTTCTCATACCTGACCAGCCTGGGACCAAGGCCCCGGGGGCCAGGGCCGGGGGGGCGTCCTCCCCCCTCAGACAGTCAGGAGTCACAAGGTACCTGGTTGGGGCTGCAGATGTAACAGGAGAGGCAGCCGCTGCAGCTGCAAATACCGGAATGTCCTCAGGCAGTGAAGAGTCTAGGGGAGGAAAAAAACTTCCCGAGGGGAAGGGGGCCTTTGATTCACTCCTGCGATGAGGGGCACTAGAGAGGTGGGGACCCAGGTCCTCCAGACCTGCCCCCCTGGAAAACCGCTTCGCACTCCGGCCAAAGCTCCACCATCAGAGCCTATTCCTGGGGCCCTTTGCTGCCGAACACCCGGCTAACAAGACAGAGCCAAGAGCCATGGAGAGTGGAGAGGAGGACGGCACCTTTCCAGAAAGAGGGAGCATGTTGGGGAGCAGCTCTCTTCAGTCTCCATTTCCCTCCCCAACCTGGGCCCCAAACCACAGCCACAGCCCCCCACTGGGGCTGGCCATCCCCCCGCCACCACCCCCACCCTCCACAGCGGAAACTGTGGAAGCAGCCTGCAGGTCCACAGGGAAGTGAGGAAGAGGCCAGCTCCCGGGGCTGTCACCAGACCAGGCCCCTGGACAGGGCTAGGGCTCTGGGGAGGGCCTGTGGGGGGCCCGGGCTGCTCCTCCCTCACCTGCTGTCCTCCAAGGCCGGCTCCAGCATGCTCCCCCCTTTGAGGTGTTTGAGGGCCACCTCAGCTGCCTTGTGCTTGGCTGCCTTCTTGCTGGGGCCCTGGCCTGAGAGAGGGGCGTAGGCAATACTGGAGTCACTGGAAGGACAAAAGGGGAAGCAGCACCCCACAGCCTCTCCCACCACCTCCCACCCCAGCTGGAGACGTCACACTAACTGCTACCAGGACTACGAGCTCTCCAGATCAAGCTAGGCCCGATGGAACTACTCCCGAGCAGGGATTCTTCCTCTGACGTACATCCCGCTAGAGAGCACCGTGTTTTTCTCCACAGACCGGCTGGCTGGAAAAGCAGACTCGGGTCTGGGGACAAAGCCTGGCTGTGCACTCACGAGCCACGTGACCCTGTGTCAGTCACGGAGAGTCTCAGCACCTCAGTTCCTCGTATTCAATGGGAGAATGTGACCACCTATGTCACTGGAGCGGAGTGAGGCTTATGGTGACCGGGTATTTGGCCACACACAGGGGGCACTTGCGCCCCCAAATACTTCCCGAGCCTTGCTTTACCGGGCCTCTTTTCCCCCTGGAAAGAGGACGCTCTGCAGGGTCATGGTGACGGTCCTGCCCTCTCCTCTAGCTCTCCCAAGCCCTACCCACCTCCTCACAGCCCTGCTCTCCCAATGCAGTCAGAGACTTTCCCTCTGAAGTCTCCCCTTTCCTCACTGGCCTTGGAGAAGAGGGCTGTGAAGAGATTCCAGGAGCCCAGGCCAGTGGGGCCCGGTGACCGCACACCCCGGCCAGGCTGCCCAAGCCTTCCTCACCAGTGCAGCTGGTGTCGCCAACGGTGACCCGGAAGGTGAAATTAGGCTGGTGGGCTTGGCCCTCGGCTTTGAGAAGGTCGTACACAGGCGTCTTCCCTATTCTGGTCCCATACTCCTGCAGAAGGCTGATCGGGGTCTTGCCCGGGTTGGCTGCCAGCATTTGCTCTATACTGGGAGGAGGGGCACAGACCCTCATCACACCTCCCTTCTCTGCACCCACCTGGCCAAGCACTGCTAATGTCAGACCCAGGCACACTATGGGGGGCACAGGGTCCAGGGGACCCCAGGCAGTACAACAGCCGGTGGCTGGGTTCAGTGCAGAGGAGAGGTGCAGGCTGGGCAGGCAGGGTCCCCTGCCCCAGGGCAAGTAGGGAATGCCCTGTTCCTGTCTCAGTTAAGGTGGGGAGGGGGGTGTCCTGTACCCCAGTGCAAGCTGAAGTGCATGTCCCCTGACAGTGCAGGCCAGGGAGCCAGTACCCACCAAATGTACTGAATGTCGGGGGCATAAAGCCCTGTGCCCCAGTGCAGTCTGGGAACCCGGCCAACCCAAGCTACCAGAGCTGGAGGCAGTGGCCACTGCCGCGGTGCCTGCCGGGAGCCACCAGCCACTACCACGGTGCTTGCCGGGAACAACCCTCAGGCCAGGTGCATGCTGGGGCCGCGCCGCAACCACCTCGGCACCGCACCGCGCTTCCGCGCTGCAGGGATCGGCGCGAGGCGGCTCACCTGGGCAGCCCGCAGCCCGTGGGAGTGCCGGAGCCCTGCTCCTCTTCACTCATTCCCTCCTCCGTCCCCGCGGGCGCCACCGTGACTGCAGCCTCCACGCGCCCCAATACACCGCCGACGCGCTAGGGCCGGGGCCGAGCCCGGAGTCGCGGCCGGTCGGGCCCTCCGCGGGGCATGCTGGGACATGGAGTCCCCCGCCCCTCCGACTCCAAGCGTCTCCTTCTGGAGGGGGGCTCTCCGCCCCACAACCCCCCGCGTGGTCCGCCCTGGCTTGCAGCCCCGCCCCTGGGCGGAGCGGCCCCTCCACCGTCTCCTCCCGAGCAGATGGGTGGGTTTTTGTTTTGGGGTGTTTTTTTTTTTTTTTTACAGCCAGGTCGTCCCGCCCCTTCCTTCCTTGGGCCGAGGCTTTGGGCATGCGCACTGCAGAGTGGAAGCGGCTGGGGGCGGAGCAGTAAGGGCTACCGCCAGCACGGGGACAGGTGTGGGAGGGGGACGTCGCCCGAATCCCCAGAAAACTACGGGACCCAAGAGCTCGCGCGCCAGCTTTGTCGCAGCTGAAGGGGCAGGGGCAGGCTTGCCCGGGGAGCGCTGCGCCTTGGTTGGCCAGTCCCAGCTGCGCTCGCCTGTCTGGGGGCTCCCGGTTGATGACTTCACCGGGGGGCGGGGCGGCGGAGAGTCCGCCCGCCTTGGCCCCGCCTCCTCCCCAGGCAAGGCGGTGATTGGCCCAGGGCGGGGGCGGGGGGACCCTGGCGCCCCTTTCTCCGCGGGTGGGCCTTACCTGGCAGGCCCTGGGCCGGACTCCATCCCTGACGGTTGTCCCTCAAGCCTTGGCCCAAGTCCCTGGCCGTCGCGGTCCGACTGGCCGTTTCCTACGTTGACCTTCCCTTCCCCTTGCGCTGCCACCCAGCCTCCGAGGCTTCTGCTAGTCTGAGCCTTTCACGATGGCCCAGGGAGCCGCCAGCTGGCCAGGGCGTCCCTCTGGAGCCTGGCGGCCAGGCTGCCGTGGGACAGAGGGTCAGGGGGACTGAGGCACGTGGCGGTCTCGTGCCCTCCACAGCGGGCCTTGGGTGTCTCCGCTGAAGAGGCGGCCAGCAGACCGCCGGTACCGCCTAGCGAGCGCACACCAGGGCAGCGCTTGGTCCCAGAGCTGCAGTCCCTTCTCCCCAAAGTCCGCAGCCGCTGGGCTGAAAGATGCACATGTAATCTTGTGACCTTGGGGAGACGATCAGAAAACTGTCGATTCTAATGAGTGTTCTGAGGACGGGTCAGAGGAAAGACACCTTCCTCTGAGCTGGGGGTGGGAGTCGAAGGAAGCTTGGGTGACACCGAGGAGCCATCCAGGAACATGAGGGGGGCGGGCACTGAACTGAGCGGGTCCCGTGGGTGGACCCCGAGGGGTGGCTTTAGGTGAAGGAAGCTGGTAAGATCTGAGCGAGGGGGAGAGGGCAAGGCTCGAGGGTTGGGGCCGGGTCCCAGCTGAGCGGCTGCTGTCTTGGGGTGCAGGAGGGATTTTTGAGCAAGGTCTTGGGGGCCTTCCAGGGATCAGCGTGAGGGCCGAGGTGGTACGGCCTTGCCCCCGGGCCCCGCCAGCGGGGGAGGTGCCCGACCCAGGCCGGCCGAGCGCCCATGGCAGCAGCGGGCTCCTTTAAGAGGCCGGCGGCTCCGGCGCAGCATCCTCCGCTCAGGGCGTGTCCGTCCCGGGGGGCCAGGGGCGGGGGCCCGGGGAGGAGCGGGAGTTCTGGCCGAGCTGGGGACGGGGCTAGGGGTCGGGAGGGGGGTGGGGGG